GAAAATTCTGCTGTAGTGCAGAATTGCAGAACTTCCTTTGCTTGCTCGTAAGCCACGGAGTGGCTGAGAAACAACCAAGGGTCCTTTGCCGGCAGGCATTTGCCTCTGAAATTCACTGATCTGCAAGAGGTTAACTCTGCCTGACTGCTGGGCACACAGCACAGGAAACACTGGGATCCAGGCTAGTCAGATTTAAATCACACCCCAACATCTTCCCACCCCTCGCCCCAGAACAAAAGCAGGTAGGATGAGGACATACCTCTTGCACTGAGCAAGGTAAAACCACTCGGCTGAAAGAGGAAAAAAGCACGTTCAACAAAATGAATAATTAGGCTTCATCTGCAGATAACAGATATAAACTGTAACAAAGACATTCAAGAAGTGCTGAAATCAGTTAATTGACGTTTTCTCTGTGACAATAAGGCTGCACGGATATAATGCAACCAACCCAAATAAAATTCAATGACAAACATTACAAAAGGGAAAAAAAAGGTTAAGAACATTAAAAGTTGCAGACAAGAGCCAGGAAATTTGGGATCTACATCCAGCCCTACCATAACTTTGTATGGTGCTACAGTGTACAGTCTGGTCTGTACAACTCAAAAGGAGGACAAAGGTGCAGGTCCTCAGAGCCCACAAATGAATTTTGGCACCCTAACCCTAACCCATTTAAAAAACCAGCACAACTCAGATCCTATTTAGGTGGCAGGAGCGAGCGTGTCTTAGGCAAACAGTTTAGTTCTAATACAATGCACTGTGCAGTTGTCAGGGGACGCAGAAGCTGATTTTCCACAGCAACAGTACGATGCACTGCACGGCCTGTCTGCCTCAGTTTCCCCTTTCATACTAAGACAGACAAAGACGATGCAAATCAGTATTGTTGCAAAACGACTAGAACAACTGCATTGTTCTGAGGGCTTTTAAGTGATGCCACCTCCTTTACTGAAAACCTTGTGACTGCTTAGATTCAACACAACGCAATCCTTCTGGAAACATGGATATAAATCAAGCCTGGTTAGCTGCTGCAACTCCTACTACCCTCTGCTGCATCTGCGCTTTGTGAACGGCGAGTTTGATGTTTTTGCTTGGGTACCACGATGAAGATGACTTCAGCAGCTTGAGCACCCTGCACGGCAGAAAATGCAGCAAGGATGACAAAACCAATCACCCCTGTGGATCAAACTCAGTCTTGCAATTTCCATCTAACTTCCTCTTTATCCCTTAAAGACTTTTCTATTTCACTCTACTATGTGCCTCACTGAAGAGAGTTTCATTTCATCTGTGAAACCTTGGGAGAGAAACGGAGACAATCAGCCTCAAATGTTGGCAAGTGTCAGGCTGAAAGCAAAGCTGTCATGCAAACGCAGAATGGCCAAGTAGCAGTCAAAATAAAACTCCCATAAGGACCGCTATTACATCTCATTAAAAAAAGCCCTTAAATTCTTTCTAAAGCTGGCTAGCAAGACCAGTAGCAACAGAAGACGCCTGTCTTGGCATGAGCAGATACTGACTCAATGCCTAGAGAGGATGCATTTCTGGCTTGCAAGGTGATACAGGAGATTTCTGGGCAACTTCAGCTTTAGTCTTCAGCAGGGCACTAT